CATCACATTTCAATGAACCTAGGACTATACACCATATTAGTTTTTGGTAAATATTTATGCTTCTTAATCACCTAATTAACATAATTAATTAATACTGATATCTCAAGTATTGATCATCACATTTGAATAAAACTAGGTACATGAATGCTCTAGGACAATAGACAGCCTAATTAATTTTGGGTTAAAATCTGTTTATATTAATTCTCTAATTAGCATAATAATTAATAATTTTTTGGTTCTAATCACATTTCAATGAAACTTGGTACATTGTGCAGATCTTATTAGTTTTACACTTAAATCTGTTCATATTAGTTACCTTATTTGCATAATTAGTTTTCTGCGTTTCCATCAATATCTCAAGTTCAAGTAATTTTTAATTAATTTTTAATGTGTCTCCAATACTCTCAGCACACGGGAGTTCTTTCCAAGCTTTCTTTGATATGGTTATCCTACTATCATGTGATGAATTATTGTTGCATACTGTAAAATAATTTATTTTAGCTGGAATAAATTTTTGCTGAAAAGACGTTTTGGGTGTTTTGTATGGAATTTATTTTCACTGATGAGTTGAATGTAAAATATAGGAAAAAAGGTATATTCACTGCATATTATTTTCACTGAATCATTCCTTCAGCGAAAATAGCGAAAATTAATTCCAAGTGAAAATAAAGTATTTCACAGTAGTATTGTATTTTATACATCGACCGCAATGTGGTCGTAATAATAAACTTGCAACATACCTAAGATTTAGTGTTTTCTGGTCATTAAGACATTATTATATATGGATATATAACTAATGTTAATATTTCTTTGACAGCTTGCAATTGAATATGGTATTAAGTTTATGGAGACAAGTGCCAAAGCTAGTGTCAATGTAGAGGAGGTAAGTACATCACATCATAAGTGGATTACCTACTAGTACCAATAACAAAATGTTTTAAAAGATTTGTCATATTATGAATGAATATACAGTACATTCCAATCATAACTTAACTTTCAAGCTGGCTTTCCCCTTTTATAAAAACTTTTTAAGTGAGTAACATTGTCATCAATAGTTTCAACTTATTCTTCGTAGTATTTACCTATTTGAAATTCGCATTTCCTAATATGGTAGGATGAAAAAAATACCGCAAAATTACAGCATGCTGTGACTTATGGGGTTACGGTGACAGATGTATAATAATACAATATGTTACATCTTTAGAAATACAAGTTTCAGTATGTTGCAATAATATTTTATGAAAAACAAGAAAGGAAAAAGAAGATAAGTTTATTTATGTTTACGTATGTTTTGTTGATTGCAGGCGTTTATTACACTAGCTAGAGATATCAAAGGAAAGATGGACAAGAAAATGGTATGTTATTTTATCACGACTTATTTAGAACCACAGTGTGATGTGAGACAGGGCAGATTAAAAAACCATATCACCACACTGTTACCATATCACCACGCTGTTACCATATCACCACGCTGTTACCATATCACCACACTGTTACCATATCACCACGCTGTTACCATATCACCACACTGTTACCATATCACCACACTGTTACCATATCACCACACTGTTACCATATCACCACACTGTTACCATATCACCACACTGTTACCATATCACCACGCTGTTACCATATCACCACGCTGTTACCATATCACCACACTGTTACCATATCACCACACTGTTACCATATCACCACGCTGTTACCATATCACCACACTGTTACCATATCACCACGCTGTTACCATATCACCACACTGTTACCATATCACCACGCTGTTACCATATCACCACGTTGTTACCATATCACCACACTGTTACCATATCACCACGCTGTTACCATATCACCACTGTTACCATATCACCACACTGTTACCATATCACCACGCTGTTACCATGTCACCACGCTGTTACCATGTCACCACGCTGTTACCATATCACCACGCTGTTACC